ATAGTAATTTGATTTTGTTCAAAGCTTGCCTGTATAATAAAATATAAAATAATCATATGGTATAATTAATGCACCATAAAAATATCTACTGCCTTTCTCCAGAGTTCGTATTTTTCTTCTTTTGATTCTGTCTTTAGATCTTTAGGTAAATTACGAAATGCATTCTTAAAATAATTTTGATACAGTAGTATGACATCTTGATGTGTAGTGTCTCCAGGAGTAACATCACCATACATTTTACGAGCATCACGAGATGAACTCTCTTTTCTGTGTAATATTAAGTGCATGAAATACATAGCTTCAGTTTTTTTTACGTGTCTAGTTCTGCAGTTTCTGGCTGTAGTTGGTCATATTTTCTAAAAAATAAATTTAATATGATTTAACATGGCTCTATATATAGATCTACTCTTCAAGTTCTTCAGTTTAGTTTTTGAGTGAAGTGCTTAATCTGCCTGTAAAATGTATACAAAGATGTACATCTATAGCATAGAATAGAATGCATATAGTTATACTTCTTTTGTTCCGAGAGGTGTGTTTCATGACTTTTACACAGACTAAAGTATAAATTCATAGGCTCAGTAAAATTAATATTGACTGATGATACAACTACTTACTTCTCTTTTTCATTAGCTTTTTGAAAAAGATCTTTCATATACTTCTCAGCTTCTTTAAGATGGCTATTCTCACCTGCCATAATACTTTACTTCCCATTAGGGAAGTTAACTAGATACATACAGTAGACTATATACACAGCTCTAAGAATTGTTGATTCAGTTGTCAACATTATTCCCGGAACTCGCAATAGTCTACTTATATGATATTCATAAGAGCTTTTTCTTGGAATTGCAAGGCACTATATAGTCATGCATAAGAAATTCTTAGAAATTGGCGCCATAGTCGTGCATATTCCCCTATAAAGACATATCCCCCCCCCCCCATAAAGATCAGAAATTTTATAAAGCTCAAATAAAATCTATCCTTGATTCTATCACTTGCCTGTAATATCATGGCTTTGGCAGCAGCAGCAGCAGGAGGATACTTTGCATTTGGTTTTCGAAGCATTCAAGTTATTCAAGTTAGACTTCGAAAACCAGATTATAAACCTCCTTTTAGCAGAGCAAGTAAGATTCCTCGTACAGATGCTGGCTTTCGTGTTACTGATGGTAATATTGCTGCTATTGATTTTGGTACTACATCAGTTTCAATTGCCTTCATTACAAAAGGAGATGAAAAAGTTAACACGCTCACACTTGACAATGAAGACCAGTCTACTCGTGTTCCTAATGCTGTCCTTTTGAAAAAAGATGATGGCAAAATGAAAGTAGAGGCTTTTGGAAGTATAGCTCGAAAAAAATTTACCTCAATGAGATTAAATGAACATCACACTCATGTCTACTTTGAGAGAATCAAGATGTTAATGAGAAGAGAAAAGGTAAGCAAAAATATCCAATACTTTATGATTGATTGAAAGTAGGCAGTTGATAGAGATACAGTAGTTGAGTCATTTTCTGGCAATAAGTACTATCTCGTTGAAGTCATTGCATTTATACTGAAGTACCTGAGAGATCTACTGATTGCTCATTTCTCGTGCACTGTTAAGCCATTGAAGACAACTGATTTTGATTGGGTCATTACTGTACCTGCTATATGGGATGCACGAGGAAAAAGAATGATGAGAGAAGCTGCTTATCTGGTGAGTGATATTGTCATTTTGAATGTTTAAAAACACTAATCAATAATTTTAAATATAGGCTGGTCTACTGACAGAACATGATGGTATCACTAAGTTCACTCCAGTGTCTCGTCGCTCTTTGCCTCTTCCAGATGAAGTTAATCCTGACAGGCTATCGTTAGCACTAGAGCCTGAATCAGCAGCTCTTTATAGCCAAGAAACAGTGGGAGATCAGATAAAAAGTGATCCAGCCACATCAATTATTCCACGTCCATCAGATTACATGGTGATAGATGCTGGTGGGGGTACAATAGATATCACAGCTCACATTGAAGTCAATGGTAGTATTGTAGTTGAGAATATACCAACCGGCAATGCATGGGGTGGTACACAGATTAATGAAGCTTTCTCTAAAATTCTTGAAGGTATAGTTAATGATCCTGGATTTGAAAAGTTTTTAGCTTCTGGAGACCGATCTCAAAATATGGCTGATGTCATTAAAATTTTTTACACTGAATTTGAAAGTGAGAAGTTGCTCTTTGGAAAGGAACAAACAGAAGAAATTCGTATTTCATTACCAAATCGTTTTGTTAGGTTTCATGATAAAAACCTCCAGGCTGGTATCAAGAGAAGAAGTGGTATCGATTATGAAGATGATACACTATACATCTCCAAAGAAGTAGTGGAATCTGAGTTGTTTGGCCCAGCACTTAATGGTATAATAGAGTGCACTTTGGAAGCTATCAAAGCAAATGATACCGATCTTAGCACCTTCTACTTGGTTGGTGGGTTTGGAGGCTGTAAGTATGTACATAAAAAGGTCAAAGCTGCTATAGAAAAAAAAATGTCTTATTGCAATGCCAATGTCATAGTACCTCCTACTCCTCAATTAGCTGTTGCTACAGGAGCTGTTACGTGGCGTAAGAATCCAGAGAAGATTAAAGCAAGACGATCTGATGCTACATATGGAATAGGAGTATCTTCACCATTTAAAGACGATCAGCATGATGAGTATTACAAGTTTTACAATGACGAGCAAGAAAATTACAAATGTGCTGATGTTTTCAGTGTGTTTCTAGAAAAAGGAGAGCTGGTGCAAGCAGATCAAGTTATTACAACAAGTTTGACACCAGGTTATCAATCAGAAGAACAAGCCACCATTGGTATCTATTCTACTCCTAATCTTGGGGTTCAATACATCAAAGATAAAAATGGTAAAAGCACAGTCATAAACATTGGTCAATTAGTTATTGATATTCCTAATCCTGATAATGTACCAAGAAATGAGCGTGACATTGACATCACTATGGATTTCAGTGGTACAGAGATTCAAGCTAAAGCAAAGTATCGTATTACTGGAGAAGAAGTTAAAACTGTTTGTGACTTTCTTTCTGCTCAACAAACTTAGACTGTTAATTTAGTGCTTAGCATATTTATGCCTTTCAGTCAGGACTATATACTAGTAGATTTAGAATGAAATATTTTTTAGTTAAAATACTGTTATTTTAGATCTGCTATAAAATTTCGTGGGGTATTTATTTTCACGGATTTCGTGGGTGACTTCTCAAATTAATACCATGGAAATGCTCACTGCGCATGCACAGCATGTGAAATTCAATGACTTAATGCAAGTGCACATGCAAAAATGTGAAATCAAACCCCCTCAAAATTAAAGAATTAAGAGCTTTTCACTAAAACACGAAATTTTATACCCTCGAAATTTACTACCCGTATGGTATATACATGTACATCAGCCAAACCACAGAAGCCTAAGATGATATTCAAAGCTTATTCCTGGAATTATCAATTTCACTAGAAACATCATAACACTTTATTTAGCAATAAACACAGACTGTGTCAAACACACGCACACACACACACAACATATACATATACATGTAACAATTCTTAATACATGTGTTATTTTATTGTTGGCTAAATTTCTCTAGTGATTTTGAAGCATCTTTCAACTTTCCAACCAAATCCTACATTAAATAATAATTTCTCACTACTATTCTTTCAAAATACTGGATAGCAGGTTTCTTTCATTTGGCCAAACTTGTTCTTTCATCCTCCATGCTCATATAACCCACAAAATCACATAGAGTAATAAACTAGCATAACAGTGTAAAAATATTCCTATAA